GGCTGCATTGGGAGTGGAGGGCGGGGTCTACACGGGTGGGGGGTGCAATGTGGCTGGAGGGCTGCATCCGGAGTGGAGGGCGGGGTCTACACGGGTCAGGAAATGTGGCTCTGGTCCGTCTTCCCTTGTTGGCTTCCTGCTGCTCCTGGTTTCTACTCCTGGGGCCTAGACCCTTCTGTAGCTCGTTTCTCTGTGAGCACCGGGCCCTGATCACTGGTGTGACCACGTGTGGGCAGTGGGCAGGGCCTTCCCCGGCGCAGGGGGTCACCGCTGCTGGGACTTGGCAGCTCCAGGATCGGCAGCATTTTGTGGAGAACGACGAGATGTACTCTGTCCAGGACCTCCTGGATGTGCATGCTGGCCGCCTGGGCTGCTCGCTCACCGAGATCCACACGCTCTTCGCCAAGCACATCAAGCTGGACTGCGAGGTGGGCCTCTGCCTGAGGGCTGCGTTCCCCCAGCCCCAGCCCTGAGGGGGGTTTGCAGGAGACACCCCCCAGCCTGGCATGTCCCTGGCCTGGAGTGCCCAGAGGAGCTGGCACTGATGTTCCCGTGTGCCAACACCACACTGTCCCCCCAGCGGTGCCAGGCCAAGGGCTTCGTGTGTGAGCTCTGCAGAGAGGGCGACGTGCTGTTCCCCTTCGACAGCCACACGTCTGTGTGCACCGACTGCTCCGCCGTCTTCCACAGGTGGGTGTGGCTGGGGCCCTGCACTTGGGGTGGGGCTCTGCCCTGTCCTCCAGGAGCCACCCCTGGCCTCAGGTATGCAGGACGCCATGGGAGATGGCACTGGTGCCCTAGAGAGAGGGAGATGGATCTTTGCTGACCCTGAGATACTGAGTCAGACTGTGATGTCTGTGACAGAGTGAGAAGTCCCCTCAGGACAGCACCTGGGGGCTGGGGGGCTGCTCCTTCCCAGGCCCTCCCGCACCAGCCCCGGCAGCCCCAGCTCCACCCCGGACGTGTTCCCGGCCTCCCAGCTGCTTCCTCTCAGCACTAGGATTGAAGTCACATTTTGAGGGTTAGTGTAGGCTAGAGATTCCCAAACTTTGTGGTTTAATGTCATGGTAATTTTTTCAAAGTGTTCCTAAGCCAAAGGAAACTCCTAACACTTTTACTTACTAAAAGTACGTAGGCTCTCTTTTCCTAGCCACTAGAGCCACAGGGAAAATTATTTATGTTCAAACAACTTTGTAAGTATTTATGTCCTAAAGATTTAGTGGCCGTTTGGAAAACTAGTACACACAAATTAGAAGAAAAACATTTTAATTTCATGCTTGAGTAAGTGTGATGACTCACTGGTGATGTGTATGCAGGTTTTGGGCTCCACACGTCTTCCAGATGTGGAATCGGATGGAACGCTCCCCTCCCCCCAGTTTCTGTCCCCTGATTTTTGTCTGGAATTTGCTATTTTCCGTAGTAACTGCTGAAATCCCGGCTCTGCAGCGCTATGGTGTCACACAGAGGTTGAGGCTGAACTCCGTCAGCTGGTAGTGTGCCCGAGGTCTCACAGATGCCCGTCACTGCCATGTTCTGTTTAAAAGTTTGAACTCAGCTGCAGTGCCCCAGGGCACAGTTTAGGAGCCAAGGCAGGTGCCAGGCACCCTGGGATAGGAACGGGGGATCATGAGGAAGGGTGCTGAGGCTGGCGTGGCCACCTAGCTCCGCCCCTCAGCTGTGTGAAGTGAACCTGTGTGGTCGCCGACAGCGGTAACGTGAGGACCCCCAGAGGTCCGCCTCTGCACGCCGGTGGGCGCTCTGCACACGACCACAGTCAGTCACCTGGTGTGGAGCCTGATTGTGGCCTTTGGTAATGGCTGTAGAGGGATGATGAGAGCTGACCTAGCACGCGTGTGGGGTCAGTGCTGGCGTCTCCTGTGCCAAAAGCCCCAACCTGTTCTTGCCCCCAGGGACTGCTACTACGACAACTCCACCACGTGCCCCAAGTGTGCCCGGCTCAGCCTGAGGAAGCAGTCACTCTTCCAGGAGTCAGGTGCTGACGTGGAGGCCTAGGGCTGAGGAGGAGTGCCGGGCACCCGCCTGGGCCACCGGGACCCACCCGACAATGTCAAGTCGTTTGTTCTGCTCTGGAGACCCCTGGGGTGCGGCCCCAGGACCCCTTCGCCCCTGCGGGGCCAGAGTGGCTGGGCATTGTCAAGGACTGTGGTCTCCCACGTGCGTGCGGGGACTCGGGGCGGCCACGCCTGCCTGCACTCCTGTGAGGGGTCCTTACGTGGCCCCCAGCCTTCCCCAGTGCAGGACTCCCTGGGCAGGGAGCTGGGGGACATCTCACCTCCCTCGTGGCACAGAGCCCTCCACACCCCTGGACCAGGGCACCTGGGCCCTAGAGATTTCGCAGCTCCCGTCCGGGGCACCCTGGAAACTCGTCAGGCCAAGACCCCAAGAGGGCTTCTGAGGAGGCGTGAGGGTGCACCACCCAGCCCAGGGCCGAGTTTCCCAGGCAGTGGGTTTCCGCTCTGCCTGGAGGCTCCATCCTGTCCAGCCACGTACCTTCTTGGGGCTTCTGGTTGTCCCCAGCTGGGGCTGTTCACAGCTGTCACCTGTAGACCCACCTCTACCTGGGGCCTGAGGGTCTAAGGCCTCACTGCGGGGTCAGCCCAGTGGGTCACCTGTTGTTTCTGTACAACGGCAGGGGAGCGGGCCATGGAGCTTTTCCCTGCTGGGTGCTCCTGCCTTGGCTCAGCCCACCTTTGCTGGTGCTCTAAGCTGGGAGGCCGTGGGTCCGTCTGAGGAGGATGTCCTGGCCTCCAGGTGTGGAGCAGGGACTGCGCCTGAAGGAGGTTCCAGGTTAGACAGTGGGACCCTACAGGGGTTCCTTGTGGCATTTCTTGGAACCAAATCTGCCTGGAGGAGCTGTGTCCTGCTGCCTGTGACGAGCTCTGGGTAGCTTGGAAACGACCGGCCAGGGGCCTTTTCTTGGGGGCCTGAGGTCAAGAGCTGAGAATATTTGCTTGGCTGAGCCCATTCAGGAAGATCAGGGAGGGGGGTGTGGGAGGCCCCTCACGCCGCAGGACAGAGGCCCCGGACAGCAGGGGAGCCCTGGGTGTGGGGACACTTGGTTTTGCTGTGTGCACTTTACAGACCCTGTGGTCCATGAGGGGCCTTGGGAGAGGACATTTTGGTATGTGGCTTCCCAGCCTTCTGCCCTGGGAAGTGGGGGTGCTCCTGTCTGTCCTTTTCGGGGAGCAGAGGGTGAGGGGTTACATGGGTCCCACACCCTGGACCGTGCTTGGCTGCTGGTACACATGGTGGGCAGAGGACAGCGAATATCAAGGCTTGGTCGGTGTCCCCTTTGACCAGAAAGCCCAAGAGAAGCCACCCTAGCCAGCAGAAAGGCCGCCCAGCTCAAGGGCTCATTCAGTGAGCCTCCTCTGTCCCCTCCGCCATCAGGAAGGGGCTGGTGTCCTCTCCCCACTGTGGTGGCTTTAGGCAAGGTTCTTACTGTCTGCCCTGCCTCAGTTTCCCCATCTGGAAAATGGGGGCAGGGGTACTGACCTACCTCAGGAGGAACAGTGAGCAGGGAACATGCTGGAGTCCCTCAGAGAGTGTGATGTGAGGTTGGGCTCCCGTCTGGCTTCCCCTTCCTCTTTGGGGCCGAGGAGGGAGTGAGAGGCCAAGTGCTGTTTCCCGGCACCCCTCGGTCTGCACACGCCTCACGACTGCGTCACGTTTCTGTCGTATGGATATCAGCCACTCCGAAATACGAGTACTCGGCATCCCAGCGTTCGAGTTACAGATCACTGTGTCCACGGAAAACCTGCGCTGGCGTTTGCTGGACAAAGGGTTGGGCCTTTTTTTTTTTAACCTCCCACCCAGCATCTCCCGACCTGCCCGTTCTGGGTGACACAGCCTCTAAACAGTCACGTGTGGGTGTCTCTGAGTCCCAGCACAGCAGGAAGAGCCCAGCGAGGCCACAGCGTGGGACCCAGCTGGCCTGTAACAACGCTGCTGTCACTGTCGCATTAAATAGATGTCCTTTAGCCTGCGGTGTGTGGTGGATTGGGGACAGAGGAGAGAAACTGCTTTGTCGACGTACAAGTCAATTGCAGGCTTAGGGAAAACGGCCTTTTCCTTCCGGTGTGGTTGAATGTAATCTGGTGCGGGGTGAAGTAACATGTGCTGATTGGTTGGAGAGTACTGTGGTGGTGTCACAGACGTGCTGATTGGTTGGAGAGTACCTGTGGTGGTGTCACAGACGTGCTGATTGGTTGGAGAGTACCTTGGTGGTGTCACAGACGTGCTGATTGGTTGGAGAGTACCGTGGTGGTGTCACAGACGTGCTGATTGGTTGGAGAGTACCTGTGGTGGTGTCACAGACGTGCTGATTGCTTGGCGAGTACCTGTGGTGGTGTCACAGACGTGCTGATTGGTTGGAGAGTACTGTGGTGGTGTCACAGACGTGCTGATTGGTTGGAGAGTACTGTGGTGGTGTCACAGATATGCTGATTGGTTGGAGAGTACCTGTGGTGGTGTCACAGACGTGCTGATTGGTTGGAGAGTACTGTGGTGGTGTCACAGACGTGCTGATTGGTTGGAGAGTACTGTGGTGGTGTCACAGACGTGCTGATTGCTTGGAGAGTACCTGTGGTGGTGTCACAGACGTGCTGATTGGTTGGCGAGTACCTTGGTGGT